AAAAAAAAAAAAAAAAAAAACTATTTACAAAAAAAAAAAAGAGTGATTTAATTTTATCCAGATCTCCCAAGGGTCATCAAATTCAACCCAGGCATCTGGGTTCTCACCCTAAGCTGCATGTAAAGTAAACCAGCATGGGTTTGCTAGGGCATGCACTCTCAGTGGGAGCATTACCAGCCCCAAGCTGTAGAAATTGGTTCTGGGAAGGCAAAAATCTTACATATTTCAATGGTTTGTAGCCCTCTAAACCCAACAAAACAAAAAGTCTTATTCCTTAGCACTATTTTGTCTTGCCATGGAGGAATTAAATTTTTCTCTGGGCAGGGGAACTAATAATGCAAAAAAAGTTCAGAAAAGCTGAACCAGGAGCATTAGGAAAGGGAGAGGAACTCGGATACCCACAGGAGGGGGGGGGGGGGCGGGCAGAGAAAGAAGAAGAGTGAATGTAACAGAAGTATGATTTTTTTGTAACTTTTTTGTAACTGTAACAGCAGCTTACTTTGCTGTATGATTTCAGTGAGAACATTTCTATGTATGTGATATTACATATGTGTATGTGCACATGTAAGTATGTGTGCACATTTTATATACATCCTAAACAAAACAGACTAGGAGGAAATAACTGCTTTATAAACAATTTGGTGTATCTTCTGATTTTTTTAAATCTTTTTTCTCTTCTGTTTAAACTTTCTATTCAAGATAAATACCTATAAATAAAGGATTTTTACACTAAAATAATATTGAAAAAGAGAGAATTGAACTGTTGTTAATAACAAATTTCCTTGTTGATCATTTAAAAGGCTCCTTACTTAAGTATCCTTATGAAAATTATCCAAGTGTCTTTACTAAAATTACAAACAAGAACCCCCCATTTGCGTCTGGTGAGCCAAAGGGGTTCAAAATAGACTGCTCTTACTGAACTACTTCCTCACTGTGAAAATCATGTCAGCACGTTACACAGCTAATAAGTGGCTATGGTTTAAAGGCAGGTTTCTAGCAATTACTGTTTGAAATAGTTGCCTACAAACCATATCCATATGCTTGAATTTAAAAGTTACCTCTTGGTTCTGAGATGAACCCAACCATCATGGAAAGCACAGGGACATGACTGGGTTTAAGAATCAGGGGTGCCTGGGTGGCGCAGTCGGTTAAGCGTCCGACTT